CCATGCAAAAGGAAAACAGTGACAGAGAGACGAGCGAGTGAAAGAGAAAGAGATATAGTGATGGGGGGGAACTCGACTATAACCCTACCGTCGTGTCAGCGTAATGATGAAATATTGCGGGGGTCTCTTGGGCCCCACCGTATACACCCCTGGGCTAGTCCCTCGCTCACTCAACATTCCCCGCCGTCCTCTTTCAGCCACGTTTCCTTCTTCGTCATTCGGCACTGCTCGCCGCCACCCGCAACCCTCAGTATTCCTGATATAACTATGCTATTCCGTAGCACCCCCTGACTAAAACCGTGCCATCCAGTTAGCTCGCTGTACTGTATATTCCCGCGAGAATAAATGTTGCGTACACCAACGTCTCCGTAGGTATACGCGTCACGCCCCCCTGTACGTCTCGTATCGCGAACGTCCCGTAGGTGTACGTTCGCGGAGGAATTAGAAGACACCCTTCGTTCCTCGACCGGTTCGCACGTAAAATCTTTTTCACGAACACCTTCAGGCATCTCCACGATCCCATGATAATGATTATCTTCGGGAATCTTGAATACCATTGCATGGTGCTTCAGAACCTTTAAACAAGCGACGAAATCACTGTACAGATTTTCGTATGTAAAAATTAAGAAATTAAAAAAACGGATTCAAAAATTAGAGGGTAGATAGTACCTACTTGACGAATGGAGTGACAAAGTCCTAATAAACATGGATCCAAAAACTAATATTTTCCTAGTTGTAAACACTTTTTCGTTTCGGTTAAAGGGAGTGGCTTGCTAGCTTCGGGAGATAGAACACGGTAGGGAATACAGTACGTTGTACGGTCAAGTATGCAATTCTCTGATACCAAGGAGTCAAACGTAGTCAATGACGAAGGAACCTTGCCTACTACTCAGTGTAACGGAAGCGCTAAACGCGCGCAGAAAAGGCCGTCATTGAGTACCACTGTCGCCGTCGCGTGTTTTGCTGGACTATTTCACCTCTCTATTCAAAACAAAACAGATTTTGCAACTTTCCTTGACCTACTAACCTTCTTGTATTACAAAAGGCAACTAACCTTTCTCAGTAGAAAGATCTGCTCTATCCCGTGCTATAGTTCAATTTTCTCTGAGTCCGTTAGTTTTTGAAATCAATGGACGAATATCAGCAAAAATTGGTGCGTTTTCGATGTCCTTTTCAATTTGAACATTATTGAAACATATTTGGATGTCTATAATATAATAACAATTTACATGATTTTGGTTGGAAAAATCCAGAGAACTATTTCCTGTCAAGAGAAACTGAATAACTATTTCATACTGTAAAAGCACAACACAGCTCCAAAGCTAAAAATTTGCAATTTATTAGAAAATTGATTTTTTGAAAAACTGGACGTGCTGGAAAGAAAAGGTTCGCAGATTCATATTCAGCTCATAAAGATCTACCAGGAACGCCTATTGGAGATTACAAACACTAAATGAAGTTAAAATTTGTTGGACAGTGTAGTTAAAGAGAAAAAAATTGTCAATTAAAAATGTGACAACCATCCCCGATCTCCCCTAATTTCTCGATCAATGTTTACTAAGACTCCTTTACATTCGGTTAGTACTGAATAAAAGGTTAATAATAGGAATGACCGGAGCCCCGTGTAATAGTCTTCCATAAATTAATGCTGACATAACGTCAAGGATGTACTGAAACAAGTATTTTCTCATTACACCCTTCATATGAGCGAATTATTTAAAAAGATATTGTAAATCTGTACGCGGAAAGAAAATACATATGCACAGATTAAATGGATACAGCTGTTAAGGTAGCTACCGCAGTTGAGTAGGTAGGCAATATAGCAGCTGTTCATTTAACCCGAAAAAGACGATCCGAACAATACGCCCACTTCTGGTGACAAAAGAATAAATCAGAATAATCTTCCTTAGTTTCAAGGAGGACATAATCTAACGTCAACATTTGTTTTGTAAGTGAAAGTGTAGAGGTCTTACGAAGATCAAATTTGTTTTTCCAAATAGATTTATGCATTTTTTAATTCATTAATTAATGCATCAAAAGACAATTAGTTTGGACGACATTTTAATTTTAATGTTGCGAAGTAGAGACCTAGTTTTTAAATGCAAACAGCAAAGAACTAGGCAGAAACGTAGCAACTGCAGACATGGTAAATACAAGCAGCATAATTATATAAAACTGCATTTTAGAAGGTAAAAACATTACTTATTATTCAGTGGAAACATTATGTTGTAGTTAATACTATTTCTATAATTATTCAAAAAAATGTTTAATATTTAACACTGTGTATATGTTAAAGAAATAATTTAAAATTGTATATTTAGAAATTGCTGTTGTGTGTTCGGAAACTGTTAAAAGAAAACCGCACTTCTTACCTAAAATAATTACATACTTCTTTAAGTGAAATAATTATTCCTATAATAAAAGCAGTGTATTCTAATAAGTATTACACAACAGATGTATACTTTTAATAACTGTCATATACGAAATCCTATTACTCTACATAATCCACTATAAGAGTATAAAAAGGAAGCAGGTAAAAAATGTAGTAAGCAGAAAATGCGTGTACCACGACCCGGTTAACCATCTTGATGTATTAAAAAAATACAGTATTTTTTACAGAGAGAAACACTCTTTTCTATAAAAATTATTCAATATGGACAGAAACATGTACGAATAGCGTATACAAATTATTAACATTTTTCTTAAAAAATAAATATGGCGGCTGGGCGAATACTATGACTATGACCTGTACGGCTAGACGGTGTACATCATTTCTGACGAGCAGATTTAAAAAAAAAATTTGAATAATGGAATATTAAATAAATCTGAGGTTGTGAATCATCCGACGTAGGTTTTTTTTTAATATTTCATTTTATTAATATCTGACTAATTGCATAAATAAAGTGTTGTTTTCTTGCAAAAAATGAACTTTTTGCTTCAATTTGTTATTTTTCCACCAAATGAAGGGAGTGATCTACCCCTGAAGTACCTTGATAACTACAGAGTAGAACGTGTCCTATCTGTCACAGATCACATGTAAAAACCAATCACCACTTGCACTTATCTATATCTTTAATATAAAAATTCTAGAATAAAGATTGCAACAACTTTAAAAAGCCGAAGTATACGAACACCACTTGCCGTTGCGCCACTTTCTAAGAGGAAAAATATGAAGAGAGCTCATAAATAATTTGTAAGGGGTCGCGCACACTATGCTCGCAGTGACGACTACGGCACGTGTTGCATAATTGTTCGCAGTAGCTCGTATACGTTTTTTATATCACCGGGTTCTTACCCCTTATATCTACTCGCCGCCTATGTCGTTTATCCTCTCCTCTTAATGACATTAATTCAATACATAGATAATACCATTGCATAATGCCAGTATTGCCAGCTAATAATAATCTCTTGTGCCTAAGTTTTCGATCCCACCTTACTTTACTATTGAGAATCAGTAATATATTAATAATTTTTAGTAATTATTAAGTTAATAATAACACTATTAGTTTATGATTTCAATAATTGATCATTTCTTTTTCCTAACTTTTCGATCCTTCCTTACTTTACTATCGACAATCAGTAATATAATAATAATTATTAGTCATTATTAAGGTAATAACAATATTGACAGTTAATAATTTCTTTTTCCTAACTTTTCGATCCTTCCTTACTTTACTATCGACAATCAATAATATAATAATAATTATTAGTCATTATTAAGGTAATAACAACATTGACAGTTGATAATTTCACCCGTTGATAATTTCTTTTTCCTAACTTTTCGATCCTTCCTTACTTTACTATCGACAATCAGTAATATAATAATAATTATTAGTCATTATTAAGCTAATAATAACGTTATAGTATTCGGAAATTGAAAACATTAAAAGTTATTGTAAAAATTATTTCTACATTGAACATCAATAATATGTGTATTTAAATAGTGTTACTAGGAAAATTAGTATCTTTGTTCCCTTGGGAAATATATGATGAGAATGTGAAATTATGATTGATGAAAGCGTTTAAACGGATGCAGGCGTTGTAGAAAGTTTTGCGCAACTTCTATTATTTGTCTTTTGTTCGAAGAATTCAAATTCTTTTAATATATCGTGACGTTACTTGGACAGTTTTTTTCAAACTTGCACAGTCCAATGAATATTACATTATTCTATATTTAGTAAATAAACAAGAATATTTCTGATTTTGAACATATTTTCTTTAAATATAGTCGACTCTCCAATTTTCATCCCTCAATGAGCGACAATATTTTATATTTTTAATAAATAAGAAGAATACCTTCTGTTAGTGTTAATAATATTTCACAATATTAAGAAATAACTTGAAATTAATAAATTAATAAATAAAGGAGTATACCCTCTGAACAAATAATTCCTAAGTAGGTATTCAAAGAAAGATGGTAAAAAGTGAACAAATTTATGGTTTTTCCGATACCTAAACTATTAATGAAACATTATTCTATATTCCAAGGAATTAGAAATGCATGATTATTTACCGCCAATATGATCGGAAAGTTGTTAAAAAATCAGACGAAGAGAACGGTGCATATTGAGAGAACGACAAATTGGAAGAATTGTTGGCTTTAAATATATGTACTTATCTTAACTTCTAAACGAATGCACGAAATGTAACGATTTAATCGCTTTCATTCCCAGCAATTATCAAAACCTTTTTAAAAAGGTAATTTAATAATGACACAGCATCCATATTTTAACTGTGCAAAATAACGTGAATTTTCTTGTAACTCATCAACGATGCAAGAAATCAAGCAAGGAATTAATTCGTCAATACATTTACAAACCAACAATTCCGTTTATATTTTGTTCACCGTGATAACTAATTGTCCTTCCTTCTGATTACAAATAGAAACATTTATTAAAACGACATTCGTCAGAATTTTAAGATGCCCGTCTTAATTTAAAGAAAGCGAAAAATATTTCCACGAAGCTGCACGAATTGAAAGCGTAAAATATATTTTACAGATGAGTCATCCCGGAATGGAGAGCCTCGACATGCTGGATCCCGCAAATTCAATGACTACATTGACACCGATGTCCGAGAATACCGGCGGCGGACCTGGCCACCACGCTGGTATCCACGGGCCTTCCGTGTACGGCGGTATGAACGGCATGATGGGTCACCACCATCATCACGGAAACTTAGGCGGGGGAGGTGGTAGCGTGCCTCATCCGGCTCACCATCATCCAGCAATGGCGGCCGCCGCGGCCGCGGCTGCGGCGGCTGGCCTGCACCCGGACGCGGACACGGATCCACGGGAATTGGAAGCGTTCGCCGAAAGATTCAAACAGAGACGTATCAAGCTGGGAGTGACGCAAGCCGACGTCGGAAAGGCTCTCGCGAATTTGAAGTTACCGGGTGTCGGGGCACTTTCGCAGTCAACGATATGTCGATTCGAGTCCCTCACGTTGTCGCATAACAACATGATAGCTCTGAAACCGATTCTCCAAGCGTGGCTCGAAGAGGCCGAGGCCCAAGCCAAAAACAAAAGGCGAGATCCCGATGCCCCGTCGGTGTTGCCTGCCGGCGAAAAGAAACGAAAGAGAACGAGCATAGCCGCACCGGAGAAACGATCGTTGGAAGCGTATTTCGCTGTTCAACCGCGACCGTCCGGCGAGAAGATAGCCGCAATCGCGGAGAAGCTCGATCTTAAGAAAAACGTTGTCAGGGTCTGGTTCTGCAATCAGCGACAAAAGCAAAAGCGCATGAAATTTGCTGCTCAACATTGACCCGAGGGTGGCTTGTGACAGCAAAACTGACCGTATCAGTTGCCCAGTCTCGAGCCGAAACCAGAACCCTTGACCGAGTTTCAGGGATGGCCGTAAAAAGAAACGAAGAATAAGAGGATAACGGACGCCATCGTTTTGAAACAACGACCACCAGTGGAACTGAAAAGGCTCGTCGGTGTACATACCGCGCGTCCGTCGATGCAGTTCGCTGGGAGGGTTGAGTTTGCAAGGACATTACATCTCGGTTTCAAGTTGGGTTGAAAATGGTGGCTCGATACTGCGGCCAAGCAGCCGGTCAGACTGTCACAGGCTAGAAATAAATACATATAACTGTGACTCGCGTGCGTGATATTCTCGACGCGTCTCTTCTGCGGAATTGTCGATTGGCAAATGTGTCTCTTTTGGCTCATCGATTCGTGAGTCTCTTCCCTCAACCGTTTATGGATTTCTGAACAATCATGAATACATAACATCCTACGAAACGATGATCAGTGACTTCTATGCTCATCTAGTCTCAATTTGTACTACGAACTTCATTACGAAACTATTAATTTATTGTTGCGTAAACGACTGAAGTGATGTGGAGAAACATCGAAGCGTTATATAACCTAAAAACAGGCGAGGAGTATAATTGTTGTTCGCAAATCGACATGCTTATAATTTTCATTCTGCTTAGAAAATCTGACGTCAGAATTTTTTTCAGGCTACTTAGGATATTTTTATTGATATAAAAATTGAAATGCAATAGCATAAATTTCGCAACCAACATAAATTTTTCTTAATTTAATAATAATTTATTAACGTTGTTTAATGACATTCAGGAATATATACGTATACATTTTGATGATGTATAAGTAATAAACAAAACTAATAAACGGTACACATTTGTGTCTCGAACGGAAACATCCGGTTTATATTGTACAGAAGTATATGAAATCGGATCAAAGATTGGTAGTGGAAACCTTAGACCAGAGCATCCGCAAAGTGAGATAGAATTTGCGAAGCATATCAGCTACCACCACGATAAAACAGTTTACGAGCGCATTCACCCCAATACCGCCCTCTGTAGACTCGTTGAAATCGTCGTTGTTGCTGATTTCATAACCCAACGTTCTATGTATGTACCAATGTTCTTCAAATTTACCGTTGAACCGAAGCTGCACATTTTAATTGGCCATAATATTTCAAAACAAAAAAAAGGTATACACAATTTCGCAACATTTAATGCAATTGTAATTCTATGGTGAAATGAAACGTATTTGATTCACTGAATCAAACGTAAAATATAAATTCAGTAATATTCGTAACATAAAATGTTTTCATTTTTATGAAACCAATGGTGTTAAATATACTTAAAAATATATTTCTTTTCTTTTATTATGGACAAAGATGTGTATGGAACTTGTCGTGGTGATCATTTGATATTCGTATCACGAATTAAAATAGATGGTTCCAAAAGATTAGACAAACTGAGAAGAATTATTTGAATTATAGAAAGTTTATTCGTGATATTTTTAAACAAGATACGAGGGAAGTTATCGCGAACGAAAAAAGCAAATACAGTCGTCAATGCGTCTTGAAAAGTACAATTCGAAACATAAAAGTATAAAAGTACGTATTGTTATAAAGCCGACGCGTGAGTACGTCGCGCCGAAGAAATAAGTGATATTAATCCTAATGAAGACACTCAGTGCAGTGTAAAAAGTGAAAGGATAGAAAAAAGAGAGAGAAGAAAGTATGCGTGTGAAAAAAGTAAGAATGAAACATCGATATGTTTAACGCTAGAATAAGATTTTTACTCGTATATATCAATCTCACCAACTTTACGTTTATAGAACGAAATTCCATAAATATATGCCTAACATTTCAAATTACATGAAAATTTCAGAAAAACAAACCTTAATAATTTATACGAAATTATTATTACGTTCTGAAATATTAATTTTTTACACCCATCGAGCGGATAGTACATACGTGAATTATAATTTTCAACGGATTTCTTAAAAATTTAAAATTTAGTTGAACTCATGTGACAGAATATATCAATCAGTTAGGTTTATAACACTACCAGATGTGTCAGAAACGTTAAAATTAAATGTTAAAGTCTAAAAATATCAGATTTCAATTATTGACTCTGAATCTGTTTTACTTCTTCATGTTGACAAAAATAGAAACTTCGTAATATACTAATACATCAATTATACTACATATTACGTATGTGCATTAGTGTATCTAAAGATTGAAGGTGCGATTACCTTTTGCTACAATCTACTATCATTTTATCGAAATTCTCGAAAACTTCAAGGTTTGGAAAATTTCGAGAACATCAAAAGACCTACGTTTCGTTATCGTTTCGGGCAACGCGTTTGCTCTTAAATGCGATTCATTCGAGTAAAATATATCGATAAACAAGATGCGCGAAAAGTTAGTATGAACGAGAGTAATGAGGTGAGAGAGACCATGAAGAAGAGAGAAAGGAATAAGAGAACGTGTTATGTAGTGATATTGGACAATCAGTGAAAAGACTGTATCATATCATATTGAAGCAATACTGTAGTATTAGTCGACGAATTAATGAACTTTATTTATATTCTTCGGATCGGGCTCGCGTTCCCAATGCGCTCGATAGTCGTTTTCGTGTAAAAGGCAAAAGGGAAAAGCGGTAGAAAAGCGGCGCCCATTTCGATTAGCTTTTCCTCGGAACGAACCAATCTGAAATCCCAATATTTTCGACGATAAAAACGCAATGGTTAAGCGCATAATAAATGAAGACACTTCGTAACTTACTCGCGTGACATTGGGAACGCGATGGATCGCTCAACGAACATTGAAAAATTGATCTTTCGATTCTTCAAAACTGTTCGCTGTAATTTCGCGATCTAGCGCGATCTATTTTTGTTTCCTGGCAACTTCGCTGTCTTTCCCTGACAACGAAACTCGATCAACGCAAAAAAAAAAGCTACGAAATCCTCGTACGACTGTACACGCAAGGCTGTGTATCTCCGCGTGTGTAACGCATGGCATCGATAACACTTGACAGAGTATTTAATAGAATTGCTTTCAACAGACAACGGTAAGCAGAGAAAAGCTTCTCAAGCGTGTCCACTAGCCGGGCGTTACACGCGTGAGATCACAGTCTAGGAGCTGATCACGAACCAATCCCCGAACTAAATAGCAGTTTGTGTGCCGAACGATCATATACACGAGAACATGGCGGCCGAAAGTGTGATCGCTCTAGAATATTTGCGTGTATCGAGCAATACCACGGGGATGTTCGACAAAGAAGGCGATATATCATTATAATAGTGAAAAGTAAATGGAAGGATGGTAGTAATTTTTAAAATTGTACATACGTAAAAGGATAAGTATTTTCTAGAGGAATAGAAGAAAATTAATGGATGAAAATTATAGTGCAATATAGAGTCTAACGACATTTATTACAATCATTATTATTATTATTAAATTCGTTAATACTCGTTATTTTATCTTTCTGTCTGACACTATTAAATTCATATCATTAGTGGTGGCTAATCAAACTGTTCGGATATGTTTAAACATCTGCCGGAGGAGTCTAAACTGCTAAGCCGAGCCCGATCACGGCGAGGCGTTTGAAGTGAAGGTCGCTTCTGAACAGTCTCATAACGTATCAAACTCCAAACATCTCTGATGATATTTCAAACTTCAAACAGTCCGATGACGTGCGATCTCGAAACTTTCGAAAGGCTGTGCTGTGAACTTACCAAACAGTGATGAAACGTTGCAAACTTCGAGCCACGAATGTCGATCATACGACTCGAGGTATGTATCGATAAATAACTGACTGTATACTGTTCGTAGCTCGAGCGGCTTGAAGTTTGGAATGTTTCAACGACTCGAGTTTGGAACGTTTAGCAAGTTCACAGGACAACGGCTCGAGGGTTTGAAACTCGCAACGTCATCAGACTGTTTGGAGTTTGAAACATCATTAGTAGACTGCGGAAGTTTCGGCAAAATCACAATTTCAGATAATAATATCTAAAAGTTAAAATAGAATAGAATTTTCAATTCTGTACTGGAGACATCACTACCGTAGTAATAACACATGGATAATATTAAACTTTATTAAAGTCTTTATTTTAATGTAATCCAAGTTAAGGGATGCTATAAATGCATAAATATCCGCAGTCTAGTCATCAGACTGCTTGGAAGTGACCTTCAGTTTGAACGTCCCGCCGTGATCGAACTCTGCCTGAACTGTTATCAGATATTCAGATCAAACATATTTGAAACAATCTGTTCGTGGATGCACCACTGCTACATATCATCACGTGTATAAACCCTCGAAAAACCCCCTCCCACTTATTATCGAGATGCTTCTTTTCTGTCAAAAATTATTTTTATACGTATGACGGTCTAATAAATCGCGCGTCGCTGATAATAATGACCGCATTTAACATAATTAAAAAAATCCGAAAAAGGAACGATTTATTACAATCGATGGAAATATTTTAATTTTGTAACCACGTAAAAGTGGCATAAATCATCGTACAAGCTGGTTTCATTGCCATAGAAATTTGTTCGTTTCCTTCGAAAATTACAATCTTTCGTGCACGTTCTGCGGTACACAGTTACTGTTATGCTTCGAAGTATATCGATGTTGCTTCCTTATTTTGTACAGGATTATAGATCTATCGAATAATATGGTAACAGCTGGATAAGGCATTATCAGGTAAGGCGATGGAATAAAGAAGTTATTGAGTTTGCAGCTATCAGTCATCTAAATCCCCCACAGTTAACAGATTCATTCAATATTCATAAACATTAGTTATTTTGGCCAATAATTTATGTTATTCCTCGAAGAAAAGTTAAATACATTAGAAATAAAACTAATATTTTTCTATGCAGAACATAGAAGGTATAGTGTAAAACATTTATTTGAATACTATTTTACACAAGCATATAAAAATTGATAAAAGCGCCTACTGAGCGAATTCTTTTTAACTACAAAAGGGGCTGCCATC